GGGGGCGGGGGGGGGGCGGTAGCCCCCCAGTTTTTTGGGCAGTCGGGCAATATTCGCTGAACAGTCGGGCAATTTTGGTTAATTAAAAAAATAAATGGGACAAATTCTGTAAATTTTGTGGAAAATTTCGTGAAGTTTCCCAAATTTTTGTAGGTTCCGGACAATTTTGGTATGTCCGGAAAAAATTTTTGACCCCTAAAATGGTAGACTGACCAAAATTTTTTTGGCGCCGGGGGGGGGGATTTTTTCGGTACTTGTCGGGCAAAATCCGGAAAAGTCTGGCAAATTTCTTGCCGCCCCCCTAAATTTTTCCTTCCGGTATGCCCATGCTGTCAATGGTCATGATGCCGTGCGTTAATTTGTAGAAGGTTACCATATCTAGAAATTCATGCCAGTAGCACAATGGAAGGAGATCTAAAAGTGCAAGTCTCTTGTTGTAGGTTGTGTCACAACGGAAGGGCAGATTTTGAAGTCTTTCCACGCGTTTAATTAAGGTTACTGATTGTGGTGCCCAAATTTGAGATCCATAGCATAGCTGGGAACGAACAAGACATAAATATAGTCTGCGGCGAACCGTGATATCTTTGATGTTTAAGGTTGATCTTCGGACATATCCTAGCATTTTGGTGGCTTTGTTGCACAGGTGGTCAACTTGTTTAGGCCAAGTCAGAGTAGAAGATGTTAAAACTCCAAGATCTCGTTCACAGTCCGTGCATTCTAGGATGATATCGTTAAGTTTGTATGGATAAGTAATTTTATTGTGCTTTCGGGTGACTCTTAAGACTTTGCATTTGGTGTTATTTAATTCGAAGTTAATAATGCTTGAGCTTTCTTGGAAGTTTGACAGATCATTGTGTAGAGCAGACGCATCAGAGATCGAATTGATGGTCTTGAAGATCTTGGTATCGTCCGCGAATATATAGCAATCCTTGAATATAGCAATCATTGTAATGCAGTCTAATGCACCCTAATGCAGCCTAATACAGTGTAATGCAGTCTAATGCACCATAAGGCAAAAAAAAAAATATGTGGGTTTCCGGTTTCTTCTTATAAAAACTTAGGTAGGGTAGGTCGGTTTTAACTTTTTTTTTTAACCTTTTTTTTAATTTTCCGATCAAGCGGACGCCATTTTGTTTAGTCAGTGCTTCCACATCCAAAGATAAATTTCCCTAATATTGCCTCAAATTTCAATTTTCTGCAAATTTTTTCCTTTAAGTGGAAACACTTACAAGATGATCCAATAAAAAAGTTTAGGGTCGGGATTTCGACGTCCAAAAGCTAGGTAGGGTCGGGAAACCGGAAACCCACATATTTTTTTTTTGGCCCAATGCACATTGATGCAGTCTAATATGCACCCTGATGCAGTCTATTGCAGTCTAATGCACCCTGATGTAGTCTAATGAAGTCTAATTAGACGGAGGTTTTGCCGAACGGACATTACGTACCTTAGTTATCGTCATCGCTCACGATAATCACCTCCACAGGACGAGCTATAAGGGAAAAACATGGCGAAGAACATGAGAAGTTTGCTTGACAACATGTAGGCCAACCGCAAGTCGGGCAGTTTTTGACGTCACACACTGGAGATGATAAACCTTAAACTCTAAGAGCGCAAAGCTTAATGAGAGCACGAGTAGTTGAAGCTTAGTAGTTGAATATTGCTGCTATTTGTAAATGAATTGTTCTCGTAAGGAGATATTTACCATGTTTCCAAGAAATAGGGAGCGCCATCTATGATTTCTAAACTGATTAAAAGATGCTCCCATTATGATTTGCACGCTCAGACTTTAATGTTTAACGTTTAAAGTTTGCAAAGGACAACCTTTTCTCAAATAGCTGTATATGCATTTAGAAATTGCAATAGCTGCAGAACAAAAAAGTAAATGTGATATTCCTTCAGTCAACGACATGACGGTAGTTCTAGGGGGACCTGAAAATCTATTGTTAAGATACGGGAGGACCGAAGATCTAACTTTCTCTGAGAGTCGGCCCGGGAAAAAAAATTGCAAATACCACACATGCCCCCCCCCCCCAATAAATGATGAATAGTATTAAATAGTAATGTGTGTAAATATTGACCATACTAAATAAATCTATCGCTTACCTTGCGTTGTTGAAGAAACTTCGTCTATAAGGGAAAAAAAAAGTCGAATGAGAAACTGAATTTGCTTGGCAACATGTATTGCATTTGCATCGCAACTCTCGTGCGATTACGAATAGCAAGTGATATCGGTCTTGTGAGGCGGTCTTGTTTAAAATCATGAACGTCAAAACTACATTCACTGCCCACTCTATTTTCTGATCACCCCCGAGGCTATTAATTCCGCTCAGCTATGTTTTTAAATTACTCATTTCTATTATTTGGGATTATTAAAAATATTTAAACGCCGATTTATATACTACGTACACAACTTTTGCCTAAAACTGTCACATGCAACCTTCTTACAACTTGTACATCTTGACGTTTTTGACAGCCGCACGAGAGCATTATAACACCAACATTGGGATATATGGTTGTGCAACAATTTGTGTCAAAAAATAAATAAATTTAAAAAAAAAAACTCGGTATTTTCCGGTATACCGAAAAACCGCCTCAGCCTACTTAGGCCCCGTTTAAATGAGACCCAGGGTTTATTTTAACTTGGTTAAAAATTCAACCAATTATGTATTGGTCGAAATGACCAATATTTAATTGGTCATGTCAGACTAACCTATTCTTCAATTGGTTAAAATGACCAATTTAAATTGGTTGCAACCAATTTAAATTGGTCATTTTAACCAATTTGTTTTTACTGTGTATCGCTTGAAATAGTTCATCTGTCAAAAAATATACCGGGTGTCCCCTAAAAAACTATACCCTCTTTGATTTCATGTAACGCAAGACCTATGGAGGCTATTTCACTAAAATAAAGACCATTGTATTTACAAAAGATTAACTTACATTTTGATATATAACATTTAATTTTTCGTGCAATATTGACGGAAATACAAGTGTTTGAAGTTGCGAGGAGTTTTAGAAATTGGTGAAATAACGACAAAAATCGCCGCATCAAATTACATTGAAAGCAGTTGTCACTTACATAAAATCTTTTTAACTTCAGTGATTTTATCTTAGATTATTTCCCTGCAGATTTACTTTTCAAAAGTAAAATAAAACAAAGTAATAATTTACGTTACAGTCAATTTCAGCTGACTTTTCATCGTAAGATTCCGAACTTCGTTCCGAACTTCGCAAATTCGTTGCCAAGTTCAAAAGTTCATAATGAAATTCACAAACAGGTTTGTAAACAAAGCCTCTGATTGGCTATTAAATCAAACCAGCCAATCAAATGCCCTGTTTACAAACCTGTTTGTGAATTTCATTATGAACTTTTGAACTTGGCAACGAATTTGCGAAGTTCGGAACGAAGTTCGGAATCTTACGATGAAAAGTCAGCTGAAATTGACTGTAAAAGAAAGTTCATTTGATGTCCCTTGGGATTCAAATTCGCAATTTTATTCTTAAAGATGCTTCAGTTAACAAAAGACAAAATAGTCTGGATTTGTATCGAATACGCTAGAGCACAACGGTATACGGAATGAAATGGAATTTGGTATGCTGTTTTATGCTAATTTTTTATCTTTTCAGAAATGGTGGTTCAACTTTGGAACGTCAATAGCTCAGCAAATTAATATCGCGCGGAAAATTAAATGAGAAAAATCAAAATCTAAGTTAATCCTTTGTGTATGCAATGCTTTTTATTTTAGCTGAAATAGCTTTTATTGGTTTCACGTTACATGAAATCAAACAGGGTATAGTTTTTTTCGGGACACCCGGTATAATCACATATATATAAACATATATATATAATTACCTGATTGAATAGGTCGTTCGCCAGGCGATGGTGGTGATGATGGCGGGGATGGTGATGGTGGCGGGGATGGTGATGATGGCGGGGATGGTGATGGTGGCGGAGATGGTGACCTTGGTGGTGGAGATGGTGACCTTGGTGGTGGAGATCGTGCTTGGACTAAAAAAAAAGATATGTTAAACAAGCCTACAAACTAAAAATACAAACAAACTATGAAATTAAAAGATATGAAACGAAAAGGCGAACTTGTGACGAGTTTGAAAGTTCGAAAAAGCAAAATTTGTACGTCACTAAAACATCTTCAGAATATTTTGAAACCGTTACATGAAGGCTGCATATATCTTTTTTATCTTTTTTAAAAAAAAAACATCTCAAGGAGCCATCCTCAAGAAATATGAGGAACTATTTTCATATTTACCTGACATTCAGCACATAAATATGAAACTAGTTTGTCATGTCTCTGATGGTCCTGAAATAGAATTAAAATATCGCGCGTCCGCCAAGACAAGCGCTAACTCGTTACGAAAATATCCCAGCAACTTAAATTTACAGAACTATAACTAATGCGTGTATTAACCTGGAGTCAACAGCGCAAGCCATGTAAACCTTAAGAATCAAGGACTAAATAATTGCTCGGCTATTATATGATTAACATAGCTGATGATCATGGTTGTACATAGTCGACCTGACCACTTAGATATCCGACACACGATATAACATCATGTTGTTGTTCGCGCGAATCTTTTGTATTGTGAGCTCTCGACTGGAACAATTAGATTTTTAATCAATACTTTTCAATTTAAACAATAGAAAATTCGCTTTGCGCAAAGAGATTCGTTAGTGGAACCTGTTCTAAACGTCGGTTAATGGATAATTCAAAACAATGGATAATGAGGCATCTTAGCTGATTATCTATTGTTTTGAATGCATTCGGTACATATAAAATGCGACGTTTAGAACAGGCCCAAGACCGTTTTCCATGAATTAGGCGAAATTTTCCGCGTGGAGCGGAATTTCTCTTTGTCCTTCTGATTAGTTGTACCCAAGAATCGCTTAAGATTGTTTAACTGTCAAAATAAATAATCACATGTATATAAACAGAATAATTACCTTGAAACTGTTCGGCGCGACGGCGTTCGGCGCGACGGCGTTCGGCGCGGCGCCGTTCTTCGCGCCGCCGTTCTGGTGACGGTTCTGGTGACGGTTCTGGTGGAGCTGCAGAATAGAAAAGATACAAACTATGAAATTAAAAAGTATGAAAACTAAAAGCCAGAACAAGGCACTGTAGCAGAAACATTTCTCAATCTATCTTGTGAACGAGTTTGAAAGTTCGAAAAAGCAAAATTTATACGTCACTAACACATCTTCAGAAATTTTGAAACCATCCTCAAGGAGATATGACAAACTATTTTCATATTTATCTGACATTCAGCTTATAAATAAATATAAAACTAGTACATGTCATGTCTCTGAGGATGGTCCTGAAATAGAATTAAAATATCGCGCGCCAAGACAAGCGCTAACTCGTTGCGAAAAAAGCCCGCCCACTTAAATTTACAGAACTATGACTAATGCGTGTATTAAGGTTACAGAACACCTTTGAGTGTTAACTTTGTCTAAAATTTTTTTATTGCTTTCCATGAAAGCATTAGACTAGTTCTACTATCTGACCAAGTTTGAACGAAAAATGTTGAAAACTCGCGGAGTTATTTAATAAAATACATTTCGCTGCAATAAGAAAAGCATTGAAAATGTAATATTCAAATTCAATTTTCTCCCGAAAATGTTTACGGTAATTACTGATTTTCAAACGAGTTGTGCTCCTGCGGGTTTTAACCAATTTTTCTCAAATTTTCACAGGACATAGCTAAATACGTCAGCTTCAAAATTGTGTTCGGCTTTTTTTTAATTTTAGATATTTTAGTAATAAAGAGCAATTCACTCAAACGATTCAGAAATATATTGCAGTCGTCAAAGAAATCGCCATATCAGCGGAATGACGAAATAAACAAAAATTTCCGAACACAATTTTTTAGAACAACTATTTTGCTGTATAAAAATGATATTTTCATAAATATAACTTAAAACCAGCAGGAGCACAACTCAAAAGCGTAACGGCACCGCGATTTAAGATTTTCCTGAATAATTCTTACATTATTTTATTGTTTGTTAATTTTACAACTTTACCATATTTTGCATGTACTGGAGAACATTTGGTGCAAATTTGATGAAAATCGGACTGCGCAGTAGCGATTTTCCGCAAAACGCCAAAAAGGGTGTCCTGTAACCTTAACCTTTCATGGATGATTAATATAGGTGATAATGATGGTTGTACATAGTCGACCTGACCTCTCAGATATCTGACACACGATATAACATCAAGTTGTTGTTCGCGCGAATCTTTTGTATTGTGAGCTCTTGACTGCAACAATTAGATTTTTAATCAATACTTTTCAATTTAAACAATAGAAAATTCGCTTTGCGCAAAGAGATTCGTTAGTGGAACCTGTTCTAAACGTCGGTTAATGGATAATTCAAAACAATGGATAACGAGGATTTTAGCTGATTATCTATTGTTTTGAATGCATTCGGTACATGTAGAATGCGACGTTTAGAACAGGCCTAAGACCGTTTTCCATGAATTAGGCGAAATTTTCCGCGTGGAGTGGAATTTCTCTTTGTCCTTCTGATTAGTTGTACCCAAGAAATCACGACAACCTTTAGAAACGTATCGCTTAATTTAAGATTGTTTAACTGTCAAAATAAATAATCGCATGTATATAATTACCAAAACGTTCTTGCCGTTGGTAGTGGCCTGAAAATAAATATGTATATATCAGGTAAGTCTATGTTGCTGAATTAAGTTGAATGTTGCTAAAGGGTTATAAAATGCGCTTTTTCAATTATATAGTGGTTAGCCGCCCATATGCAGGCTACCCACAAAAAATGACTACCTTGCCAAACATGATAAGCTTAAATATAGTTCACCAAAAACTATTCTATGTAAGCGGAATTTGCATGTTTTCCGTGCGAAGGACAAAAGCACAGCATGTGTTGCCTGAACAGAAGGTAGTTCTTCGTCCTTGGCAGGCAAAACATACAAATTCCCCTTATGCACAATGCATATCACAAAAACAAATAAACAAAACCAAGTCAACCACCTCGCGCCATTCCGGGAAAGACCCTGGGACCGAGGTTGAAACAAACCTCACATGAGAGGTTATTTGGCTAACCGAGGCCGGTGTAAACGCCTGCGCTGGCGTGTTTGTAAATTGTTCTGTATTTCTGTAGCGGTTACCAATTTATGAGCGAATATGGTGACAAAATTTAGCTTTCATTTGTATAGCCCCTGCGAGTTAACGCTCCATAGAGCGGCTTGTTGTATTTTAATTGACTTTTTTACTATTACTTTATGTTTCTCAACCGGCAAATGCATTTAGAAAGGTAGCTAACAGTTCAAGCAAGAGAATAAAGCAAAGACAAAGCAATTTTGAGATGTGTACCAAAACGATTTTCGGTTTTCATCGCGAATACCTGACGTAAAGGCGATTTTCCACTAGGCGAAATCTTTCGACCAAATCGTAATTTTCTTTTCTCTTAAGCCTTGTTCACACGATGAAATAAGCACAACAGCAGAACCTTTGATGTGCATAAACGTAAGCATAAGAAGAACGCAACATTTGTTATAGTGAGCTAGATCTTCTTCAACTTATATGCAATGACCACAGATATACAGCAACCGTTAATTCTATAGCGAAAATTGTGTAGTCTTGTAACTGTATATTATGATATAATATCCTTCTTTTGTAAATAGTATATACTTTTAGGTCTTACTTCAATAATTACTCTTCACTGTAAATATATATGCAATTTTTTTTTAAACCTAACTAGTGGCCTACATTAAAAAGCCTGAAAAGGTTTCCAGTAGGTCTCTAGCCCAACACCTTCAAACTACACATAGTATTTGTTACTTATTATTGTACATACACATGGGAAATAAATATATATTGATTGATTGATTGATTCTTATGTTTATGCTTATGCACATCAAAGGTTCCGCTTGCTTATGCTTATGCTTATTTCATCGTGTGAACCAGGCTTTACAAGCACTCAGATGAAACAGAAATCTTTTGAATTTGAACAATAGAAATTTCGGTTAAGCCTGGCGAACACGATGCGATTTTAGTCGGCCGATAAAAATCGTTTGACATACCGATATACAGG